TACCTGTAGTGTTTCTTGCCTCTACCATGACATGTCAGGTATGCCTGGCAGTTATGTTGTATACACTCTACCATATTATGTCAGGTATACACCTTGGTATCTGATACCTATTATGCACTCTACCATGTATGTCGATATACCTGTAATGTGTTATATACCTGTATGTATGTCAGGTATACCTGTAATGTGTTATATACCTCTACCATGTATGTCAGGTATACCTGTAGTGTTGTATACCTCTACCATGTATGTCAGGTATACCTGTAGTGTGTTGTACACCTCTACCATGCATGTCAGGTATACCTGTAGTGTGTTGTATACCTCTACCATGTATGTCAGGTATACCTGTACTGTGTTGTATACCTCTACCATGTATGTCAGGTATACCTGTAGTGTTGTATACCTCTACCATGTATGTCAGGTATACCTGTACTGTGTTGTATACCTCTACCATGTATGTCAGGTATACCTGTACTGTGTTGTACACCTCTACCATGCATGTCAGGTATACCTGTAGTGTTGTACACCTCTACCATGTATGTCAGGTATACCTGTACTGTGTTGTATACCTCTACCATGTATGTCAGGTATACCTGTAGTGTGTTGTATACCTCTACCATGTATGTCAGGTATACCTGTAGTGTTGTACACCTCTACCATGTATGTCAGGTATACCTGTACTGTGTTGTATACCTCTACCATGTATGTCAGGTATACCTGTACTGTGTTGTACACCTCTACCATGTATGTCAGGTATACCTGTAGTGTGTTGTATACAGTACCTCTACCATGTATGTCTGGTATACCTGTGTAGTGTGTTGTATACCTCTACCATGTATGTCAGAGCTATACCTGTACTGTGTTGTATACCTCTACCATGTATGTCAGGTACACCTGTAGTATGTTGTATACCTCTACCCTATATGTCAGGTATACCTGTAGTATGTTGTATACCTCTACCCTATATGTCAGGTATACCTGTAGTGTGTTGTATACCTCTACCATGTATGTCAGGTATACCTGTAGTGTGTTGTATACCTCTACCCTGTATGTCAGGTATACCTGTAGTGTGTTGTATACCTCTACCATGTATGTCAGGTATACCTGTAGTGTGTTGTATACCTCTACCATGTATGTCAGGTATACCTGTAGTGTGTTGTATACCTCTACCCTGTATGTCAGGTATACCTGTAGTGTGTTGTATACCTCTACCATGTATGTCAGGTATACCTGTAGTGTGTTGTATACCTCTACCATGTATGTCAGGTATACCTGTAGTGTGTTGTATACCTCTACCCTGTATGTCAGGTATACCTGTAGTGTGTTGTATACCTCTACCATGTATGTCAGGTATACCTGTAGTGTGTTGTATACCTCTACCATGTATGTCAGGTATACCTGTAGTGTGTTGTATACCTCTACCCATGTATGTCAGGTATACCTGTAGTGTGTTGTATACCTCTACCATGTATGTCAGGTATACCTGTAGTGTGTTGTATACCTACCTCTACCTGTATGTGTATGTCTGGTATACCTGTGGTGTTGTATACCTCACCATGTATGTCTGGTATGCCTGAGAGTGTTGTATGCCTCTACCATGTATGTCAGGTATATATATATATATATATATATATATATATATATATATATATATATATATATATATATATATATATATATATATATATATATATATATATATATATATATATATATATATATATATATATATATATATATATATATATATATATATATATATATATATATATATATATATATATATATATATATATATATATATATATATATATATATATATATATATATATATATATATATATATATATATATATATATATATACACACACACACAGAAAACGCCATTGTGAGTTTCCCTTCTTACCTCCATCCTTGGTGCAAGATCTCCTACGTGTACGTATGTATGTGAGCCATACAAAGAGAAAATAGACAAACAGAGAAATTTGACAACTGGCCACTTACATTACGCTACAATTGGTGACCCCGGAGTGACGCACTCACACAAGGATGGATGAGAAACGGATCTCTCTTCCAGTCTTCAATCACAACATCGAGAACTGGATAATTCATGTGGAGGCAGCTCTCACCGGCTCAACAGTTAAAGACGAGCAAAAGTATGTTGCCCTGGTTTGTTCCTTGCCCGCAGAAGTCGCCATGCAAGTCTCAGAAATTATCACCAACCCCTCAGCTGACAACAAATTCGCAGCTCTACGAGATGCTCTGAAGAGGTGATACCAGCGGCCCGGCGCTAGTCTCCTGCAAGACCTGTCAAGTCTACCCCTTGGCAACTCAACGCGTGCACGTCTCTGGGACGAGATGCGTAGACTGAACTCCCGCCACACGGACAGGCTTCCTGACACTGTCCTGCGCCAGCTTCACTCACAGAAGCTCCTCGCAGAAGTTCGCCTCGCCCTGTCCACACTGGACTACTCTACAACTCCGGCAACCTACGCAGCCACGGCAGACAGAGTATTCAATGAATACACTGCTGTGCGCCATGCTGCCACGGACAACTCAGCGGCTACACCGTCACTTACCTCCGATCTTGTCAACCGGATCAACGCTCCTTAGTTGAGCAACACCTCACAAGACATGAGGGCCCTGCTACAGTCTCTACACCGCAGGATGGACACCCTCGAGCAGCTCTGCTCCTCCATGCCTGCTGCTGCTCCAGCCCCACACACTGTGTCCTACCAACCCCAACATCTTCGTCCTGCCTCAGACACCGCCACCAGCTCCCAGCACAGTGCACCTACCCTCTGCTGGTACCATCAATGCTTCAGTGCTAACGCTAGATGTTGTGGGGCTCCCTGCAACTACTCGGGAAATGGCATCGACGGGGATTGGTAGACGCCACAACCTCCGTCACTTCAGGCGTCTCACCGCTGCATATCACCGAACGCATCTCCGGCAGGAAATTCCTTGTTGACACAGGAGCATCGGTCAGCATCATCCCTCCTTACTGAAGACACATCAAAGCAACCTTCATATGACCTGTTCGCTGACAGCGGTACTCCCATCTCCTACGGCGCACACATCCTCGCCTTAGACCTCGGTCTTTCCAAGAATCTGCGCTGGTCCTTCGTGGTGGCAGACGTCTCTCAACCCATCCTTAGCTTCGACTTCCTCACCTTCCACAAGCTCGTCGTCGACCCAATCAACCTCTGCCTCACCCATGAGCCTACAGCACACATGATCTGGGGTTCACGTGCTGCAGTCGCTGACACTATCACCTGCCTCTCGCCGTCCAACGAGTTCTCCTCCCTGCTCAAGGAGTTCAAGAACTGTTCTCTCCCCGAGTCTCCACCACCACCAATGTATGGAATCTTCCACCACATCGAGACTATGGGACCTCCAGTCTTCTCAAGCCTTCGCCCTGAGCTCCTGAACACAGCCAAGGCGGAATTCAACAGACTCCTGCAAGACGGCATCATTCGACCTTCAAAGAGTCCCTGGGCATCTCTTCTTCACATGGTTCCAAAGCCATCATCCAACGACTGGAGGATATGTGGTGACTACAGAGCCCTGAACCTCGTCACCAAACCTGACAGGTATCCTATCCCGCATGTCCAGGACTTTCACCACAAACTCCACGGCAAGACCATCTTCTCGAAAATCGACTTGGAGGGTGCCTTCCATCAGATTCCAGTGGCACCTTCAGATATCCAGAAGACTGCCCTCACCACTCCGTTCGGTCTCTTCGAGTATGCCTACATGAGTTTTGGATTACGCAATGCAGCTCAGACCTTCCAGAGGTACATGGACCACATGCTTCGCGACCTCGACTTTGTCACTGTCTACATAGACGACATTCTCGTCGCATCTCCAACGCCTGCCGAGCATCATCACCACCTACAGATCCTTCTCCAATGCCTGCAGAACAACAACATGAAAGTTCATCCAGCCAAGTGCGTCTTCAGAGCCTCCTCCATCGACTTCCTTGGTCACAGAGTCTCGCCGAGCGGCATCCAACCCCTACCACAGAAGGTAACTGCCATCAAGGAGTTCCCCAAACCTGAAACAGCGAAGAAGCTCCAAGAATTCCTGGGTTTAGTCAACTACTACCACCGCTTCATTGCCCAGACTGCTAACATCCTCGCTTCTCTCCACGATCTTCTCAAGGAACTCCCCAAGACGTCTCACAAGCCTCTCATATGGACTCAAGAGGCTTTTACAGCATTCACCACTATCAAGCAGCACATCACACGCCTTACCCCGGTGGCTCACCCTGCTCCCAACAGACGCTTCTTCTACTGCCGTGGTCAGGCATGGGCCGCTTGAATACAAAATGGCGCGGCACGTCTGGACCCTCCAGCCACTCTCCGTGTAAATGACCAAATTTACCGCGTAATTAAAGCATTTCATTTCTGGCAAGGCACCGCGTAAATGACCAAATGCGTTAACCAAAACCTCGTAAATCCAGGCTATACTGTAATAATAATTATAAATAAGTAAATAAATAAATACCAAAGTGGAAAATATAAAAAAATATCAAGACTGAGAAAGTGTGTTGTCAAAGTAAGAGAAACAATTGAGACCCTGCAATTGTGTGAAAATGAGGCAAAATGTCCGTCAAATCAGCAACTAGGGACTTGGTCACAATTATTTTTATGCCATATGACAGCAGGGTCTGCCAATAGACAACAAATTATGTTTCCAATATCTTCCCAGATGGTAGCACCTCCCTGTTTGATAGCTGCCTACTAACTGCCAATACCTAGTGCTATTACCCATATCAAAATGAAATCCTCATATATTGCATACAACAAAAGAAATAATGCTGTCATGAACACAACTCCAAATAAAAATATAATGACCCCTTTCAGCACAGATATGTTTAACACTCACTTATCTACTAATGATTCCTTGTGTGCTAAGTAAAGTGTAAGTGTACTAAATCTTCAGTTTTATCCCCACATACACCAAAAGACATGTCATAAGGATAATGAAACTAACATTTTATTATCCAGTATGATTACTGCACTCATATTACATAATACCTGTACTGGCAACAAAATAAACAGCCCATCAACAAGTGCTAATCTTCTGTCAAATACGATTTCACTGCTAGTTTGTAGAAAGTTTTCCAAACCAACAGAGGTCATATCAAAACTACACACACTATCCAGCATACTAGTCAGTACTTGTGGTAGATATGTAGATACACTTATGATCCTGAACAACGGAGGCAGCACAGTGGCCACAACATAACCAGAACTATTATTATGCACACTTGAATCAGCTTTGCAGTCATGTCATTGGCAAAACTACAGTACTGTATATTCCTTCACACAAGCGGCAACTCATTTGGACATGATCAAACCTATACAGTTTTATATAGGGTAATGGACTTTACATAAACAGTGCTATATTGATATGTATTATGAACCACTGGTGAGTCAACACTGACTAACATCTGCAAGATCTCTTGTATTTTTTCTAATTATGGCGGTGATACAGCACAGGTGTTAAAAACAATTTGTGCACTGGTTTTGCAAGGCTCTCATAAATTCATTTCCATCTTGCCCACAAATAATTTACTACACATAGAAAAATGCTAAATAATATAGGATTTATATAGTACAGTACAGTACTGTACTAATTGTCTTTCTTCATAAATTTTATTTGGTCACTAATTGAAACAAAAAAGCAAGGAAAATACTTCAGTTGCCAAACTAACATGGATAATTACTACAGGTATATCAATAATTGTTCAGTTAGTTTGATGCAATATTAATTTATGTATACTTTCTGTATTTTACCGTAGGGGCTATTTTACATACAGTATATATATATATATATGTCAACAAGTCACAAAGTTACTGAGACACTTAGGATGACCAAATGAGGTAATATGTGAGCCATTACAATGCTTAAATAAGACTTGGGTTACATGAGCATCACACTGAGACACTAAATAACTCAATTGAGACATAGAGCCAAGGAAGACACCTAAATTAATTTGGTGAGAAATTGAAATGGCAAAGTTAGTATATTAATAGAATAGAGTACAGTATGGCTCTAATGACTGAGTTATCAAATTACTTTAGTGAAATACAGTACAAAGATTACTGATTGATGTAACAAGTCACTGAGTTGAAGTTGTATAATGCTCATTTGAGATAAGTTGTGAAATAAACCAATCTAAATCTTATATAATTATTTCAGAGTCCTAAATAAGCCAAAATAATAATGTAAAATATAAGAAAGCTTCCCAGCAGCATACAGTATCCAGTTATTTCGACAAGATGTCAAATTATCCTAAAGGACAGTAAGTTACCCTACATTGGCAATAAGTTGCCCTACCTAGGCACTAAGTTCATTTGTGAATCAACAATTCTAGCATTTTGAAAGTCTGAAAAATACAAGCTACAAAAATAAGAACTGTACAGTACGGTAATTGGATTAATCTTAACAAATTGTTACATCAAAATGGTAGATGGTAATATTGAAATTACTGGTAATTGACTTCAGTTTGATATAAGTTAGTAAATCATGGAATTTGTGCTCACGCCAAGTGAGTTTGTCAACCATCAAAATACAATCATTTCTTTATAATAACTTCAAAATCTAAAGAGTTTGTTGTATCAAATTATTTAGCGGTAATCAATTTACATAGTGCATGAATCCTTAGTCCTCATGTCTAATTTAGTCCAAATTTCCCTCATGTCTTATAAGGGTCCACAAGTCCAACATACAGTATACAATTCTCAGAAATTAGGTGCCATGCAGTCTCCCAAGTCGCACATGTCTCCTACAACTCTGCAAATCTATTACTTGTATCCCACGAACCTCAGTTAATCTTGTACACAGTAATAGTATGTCTTGCAGGTTACTCTTCCATTCAGTCCAAATGTCTTTAATATAACATGTGGACACTCTTTTTATCCCAAAGTCCTTCACAGTGTATTTTTCATGCCGCATATGCATCATTTTGTCCATATTGGTCACAGTTCATATTTTACTTTACTTTATCCTCTTCACCACTCTAGGTTCATTACAGTAAGTAATAAAGGACATGTTAGATTTTCTGCGCCTTGCCATAATAAACAAGTTTCTAAGGTCTTGCCACGTCATTAGCTAATTCTCTTAATATTTTACCCCATTAAATTTATGTCTACGGTAATCAAATTTCACAAGTCCTTCAAATCAGGTTTAAAGAGAAGCATCTATCAAATTCTAATCATGTCAGTTTACAATAACAGGATGACATAAAAAAAAATCTGGTATAAAATAAATGAATGAATAACAACAACAGCTTGATGTTAACACTGAACTACAGTCACTCAAGTGAAGGTCATTGGCACTGACTAACAATAAATAATTAACACAGACACAAAGTGCCACTGAGTCAATGATGCATCAGTAAGTTGACCAGTGAAGAAGTGGCCATATAATATGATAATGCAGAGTTATAACTGCAGCGTGTGCCATCAAGCGTGCAGTAGTGGTAGATTATATGTCACATGAGAGTAAATATCAGACCTTACAATCAGACCAAGGCAATTTTAAATGCCAAACTCTTTTCAATTATAATAGATACAACAGTACATGACATACATTTCAGTATTCAGTTAGTCCAGGTACTGTACTGTAGTGTGTACAGCTGACAGCTCCCTTTCACGTACAACTTGGTCAAGATAATGTACTGACTAATACTGTACCGATGTAGCCTGAAACTCTCTCTTGGGGTAAGGAAGTGACCTATAAAGTTATTGTGTTGAGAGATTACATTAAAGTTTGTCTGATGAACCAAATTGTTCTGATGAAAGTTGCAAGAGAGAAAACTAGTAATATTCTGAATTTTAATTTACCCTATTAAATAAAAAAAATTTATCCAAATAAGATCTTCATTAAATAATAATTATTGGATTTTCTTATCAACTTTGTTTCACATTACATGTTGAAATATTAATTAGATGCTTCGGATTTCATATGACTTTTCTTTATCTGCAGCAAATATACTTACTATACCTAGTGAGGTCCATAAATTACCAACTACTGTATATACTTTCTATGCAACACAATTTTGATAATACTGTACTGTAATCTTTTAAACATGCTTTTTTGCAAATCTTCTCAATGCTCATTTATTTCTATACAGTACAGTCCAGTACAGTACTTCTAAAAGACTCTAAACAGTTTTTAAGTCTCATCTCTCTGCATCAGACAAAAATCAATTGGTTATACAGTATTACAGTTCACATCTCAAGGACAACTTCATTTTATAAAGCTTAATGGTGACCAGATCACCTTCAGTACATCACTAATCAGAGAATTCACAAAGAATCTGGGCCACCTCTCATCAGGTCCAGCCTAGAAGGAAGGTTCCAATTCTCAGGTCACAGCCCTTGTTACAGCTATTGTCACACCAAGACAGGCATGTATTCTGGCCGTGGGTCATTGTGCCTTGTGCATCCTACGCGCCCCCATAAGTTCTTCACAGATGACATACATGGTTCCCGTTGCTCATCTGAAAGACAGAACTTCAAAAGTTAGCAAAAGCAGAGTAGTAGAAGAAAAAAAAAGTGGTCATATATATCTAATACTAAATCCTAAACGGGTGCTAACATTAAACATTAAAAGTGTATTGAAGATTTAATAAACATTATGGTCACAGTTCTAAAATTACTCCCAAAAGGGAATTACCTGAGATACAGTGTCATAGTGTTCCACTATATAACTCAAACCAGTTACGGTATAAAAAGATCACAACAAACACTTTGGGAGGCACAAGACAAGAAGCCAAACACATTGGCTGTACATCTCATAAAGGTCCCATCTTCACCTAATGGAGCCCATTAGGACTTGATTGATTAAAGACTGAGTCCCAATCCTAGTGGTTAGTTTAACTCAGAGCAGGATCCATAAGGATTGGGCTCTACCAACCAACAGCACTAGAAAATATATATATATATATATATATATATATATATATATATATATATATATATATATATATATATATATATATATATATATATATATATATATATATATATACAGTTGTACCCCACTTAACGCGGTCAATAGAACCCAGAGGGTCCCGTGTTAAGTGAAATCCGCATTAAGTGAACAACAGAACATATGGGATTAATTCCAATACAAACCGGCCCGACCCCCAAACTCCACTTTTTGATGGCACATACCTATGTTGTAGTAAAAATAACATCTTAATTTTATGATGGTACATGCACTCAATTAATACTTAAGAGAAATAGAGAAATACAGTCGCCAAGTTAATGTCCATTCAAATAATGGACTCAACTCCCTCCCCCTCACACACTACACTGCCGGCTCTTCCCTCTCTGAGAAATTTTTGGGGGAAAACCACTAAATTTTAATAAATAATACCTCAAACTAAAGTTAGGATAATACAATTGACATTGCTGGATTCCTTGTAAGACCAGGAATATTTTGAATATAAATGTCATATATTTTGCACAAAAGATAACATAGTTACCTAGAGAAAAATTTTATCTAAAATTTGTATGTTTAATGCAAAATATATGATGTTTATATTCAAAATGATCACCAAATTATAAGAATTCCAGCAATGTAAATTATATTCTGACCGGGTAATTTGTATGAATTTTATGAGCTAAAACAGGCAGTCAGGCAGGGTGGCGGTGGGGCAAATCTAAAAATAGCGTCCGAGCCGGACACTCACCGCGTATATGTGGAAAAAATCCGTGTTAAGTGAAAGTTCAGCTCTGGCGAGGCACCGCGTATATGATAAAACGCGTTAAGTGAAACCACGTTAGGCGGGGTAATACTGTATATATACAAAATCTCTCCGGTATAAGTTCTCACCTTGACACCTGAGTCTTCTAAAGGCACATGTGTAAATAGTTTCTCATACATATCTTTACTCATTATGGAGAAATCAGCTGCAGTATCCACTTCCATGGTTACAGGTGTGTCATTAATACACAAGTCCACATTGTACCTATGTTTAACTTTCTCTTCATGACTGGTGTAAATAGTAAACACATGGGCACTCTCATCATTATCAGATCCAAAATTACTAACACTCTCATGAATACTGTTTTTCATTTCCTTCTCTCCACCTTCAACGGCATGTACTCTACCTTTATCACCTCACAGGCAGGAGCAATATGTCCAATACGTTGACAATTGTAACATTTTGAATTCTTGAACTTACACTGAAAGCTTTCATGTTTCCCTCGGCACCTCTTACATTTTAAATCAGCATTTGTTCTTTGTTTTGTGGTATAATTATTCCTTTTAGCTACAGTTAGTTTACACACTGAGCCACTACTGCCAACTGTTTCACTACCAGCATTGGGAACAAATTCTATGGTGTTTTTCTCGGCCAATTCCATACTCGTAGCTATCTGACATGTACTTTCAAAAGTTAAGTTAGTGGTGTTCATTAACTTATTCTGTATTTTTTCATAATTCAGGCCTATTACAAACCTGTCTCTTAGAGCTCGGTTCAAGAACTGTCCAAAGTTACAGTGAATGGATAATTTCTTCAAAGCTACTATATAATTACTTACTGATTCATCTTTACCTCTATCTCTTGTGCCAAATTTGTAACTTTCAGCGATCTCAAGTGGAGCAGGGTCAAAATGTTGCTTCAGAATCTTGATAATCTGAATCAGTGAGGAGTCTTTGGGCTTGTTTGGAACCAGCAAATTGACCAGAGTAGAATAAACATATATATATATCTTGATAAAATCACACGGGAAAAGGGAAACAACGGAGCACCTTAGTTTTTGTCTTTATTTAAGACATCTTCAGAGGCAGTTGCATCTGTAGATGTCTTGAATAAAGACGAAAGCTAAGGTGCTCCGTTGTTTCCCTTTTCCCGTGTGATTTTATCAAGATTTATCTTATCCACGTTTTCATTGTGGATCTACATGAAATATATTTATATATACAGTGGGGTATGCTATAACGAACGGATCCTACTATGAATATTCCTATAACAAACGGTTTTACCTATAAAATTGAGAATGCTATAACGAACGAAACTCCTACAACGAACATTATTAAAAAATTTTTTTCCCTAATTTATTGATTTTTATTACAAGTATTAATGATATTCTTTATTTCAGGGGTTTAGATGCATATGTATGCACTTTTTTACAATTTTTACAATTTTATATTATATTTTTCAGTGTTAAGTGGTTGTATTTGGGGGCCTGGAATGAACGAATCCTATAACGAACGAATGCTATAACGAACAAGGTTCTAGAACCAATTAGATTCGTTATAGCATACCCCACTGTATATATATATATATATATATATATATATATATATATATATATATATATATATATATATATATATATATATATATATATATATATATATATATATATATATATATATATATATATATATATATAGCTTAACTCTGTATAGGATCTATAAGGATTAGCTCTACCAAATCAACAGCACTAGAATATATATATATATATATATATATATATATATATATATATATATATATATATATATATATATATATATATATATATATATACAGTATATATATATATACTATATATATATATATATATATACAGTAGTACCCCGATTTACGCGGTCAATTGAACCCACAGGGTTCCGTGTTAAGTGAAATCTGCGTAAATGGAACAACAGAACATATGGGATTAATTCCAATAGAGACTGGCCCGACCGCCAAACTCCACTTTTTCCGACACAATACCTATGTTGTAGCAAAAATAACATCTAAATTTTATGATGGTATGCTCACACAATTAATATTTAAGAGAAATACAGTCGCCAGGTTAATGTCCATTCAAATAATAGACTCAAATCCCCCCCTGCCTCTTCCCAGCTCACTGGTCCCTACCTCTCTGAGAAATGATTGGGTGAAACACTAGATTTTAACGTTTAGTAATAAATAATACCTCAGACTAAAGTTAGGATAAAATAATTGACATTTCTGGATTCCTTGCAGGTCAGGGAATATTTTGAATGTAAACTTCATATATTTTGCACAAAAGATAAAATACTCGCTTTGTGTAAACCAAATTATTACATTAGATCTAAAATTTGTAATACTCGCTTTGTGTAAACCAAATTATTACATTAGATCTAAAATTTGTATGTCTAATGCAAAATCCATGATGTTTATATTCAAAATGATCATCATATTGTAAGAATTCCAGCAATGTAAATTATATTCTGGTCCAGTAATTTGTATGAATTTTATGAGCTAAAATATCTTCAGTTAATAAAAAAAAAATATTCTTCACGACACTATCTGTCAATCAAAGTACCCCAACTTCCCCCACCCCCCACCTTCCCTTCCTACCAGAGAAATGTTGGGTGAAAAAACTAATTTTAACTTTTAGTAACAAATAATACCTCAGACTAAAGTTAGGATAATATAATTGACATTGCTGGATTCCTTGTAAGACCAGGAACATTTTGAATATATAAATGTCATATATTTTGCACAAAAGATAACATATTTACTCAGAGTAAACATTAGATCTAAAATTTGTATGTCTAATGCAAAATCTATGATGTTTATATTCAAAATGATCATCAAATTGTAAGAATTCCAGCAATGTAAATTATATTCTGGCCGGGTAATTTGTATGAATTTTATGAGCTAAAACAAATATCTAAAGTTAATAAAAAAAAAATATTCTTCACACCGTGCCAGATGGTCGGTCGGTCCCTCCCTCCCCCCCACCCTCCATCAACCCTCCCTACCAGATAAATGTGTGGGAAAACCAGAATATTTACCTTTTTAGTAATAAATAATACCTCAGACTAAAGTTAGGATAATATAATTGACATTGCTGGATTCCTTGTAAGACCAGGAATATTTTGAATATAAATGTCATATATTTTGCACAAAAGATAACATATTTACTCAGAGTAAACATTACATCTAAAATTTGTATGTCTAATGCAAAATCTATGATGTTTATATTCAAAATGATCATCAAATTGTAAGAATTCCAGCAATGTAAATTATATTCTGGCCGGATAATTTGTATGAATTTTATGAGCTAAATAAAAAAAAAAATTATACTTCACCGTGTAAAGGGATACACCCACCGCGGAATGTGAGCATCCTGGGTTCTGGCAGGGCACCTCGTAAACGTGGAAACGCGGAATATGGGACCGCGTAAAGTGAGGGTTGACTGTATATATATATACACCTAGACCCCGACTTACGACTACGTGGACTTACGACCGTCGGGACTTACGACCGCCTCAGATATAGATAAAAAAATAATAATTTAAATGACACACGCATTTTCTATACCGAAACGTTTCCAGTTAATGTAGTCTCCATGTATAATTAGAAAATTATGGGGGCCCCATGTGCATTCAGCTGACTACATTAAAGGTTAAGTGCTCAGTCACACTGTATCCATTCCTTATTATTTATTACTTTCACTGTACTGTATCAATTCATCATTATTCATTACTTTTACTGTACTGTATTTCATT